GATGGGGTAGTTGGGCACCGAGTGGGAGGCCGCCCAGAGCCTCCGGACGACGTCGGCCGACATGAGGAAGCCGCCGCCGCCCGCGTACGGCGGGTAGCGCGGCTCCGGGTGCAGGGCCACGGGCACGGAGTACTTGCTGGCCCGCCGGCGGATGACCGCGGCGCTCCAGATGACGTCGCCGGCGAAGAGGCCCCCGGCGGCGACGCCGCGAAGCGACGCGAGGTACTCGAGGACGTTGCGCACGTTGACGAAGACGTCGTCGTCGCCCTTGAAGACGTAGCGCGCCGCGCCGCAGTGCGCGTCGAACCAGCGCATGAAGTTCACCTTTTTGGTGTGGTTGTGTGGTGTGGGTGGGTGGTGTGTGGGTGTGGTGTGGGTGGGGGTGGGGGGTGGTGGGGGTGTGGGTGGTGGGTTGGGGGGGGGTTGGGGAGGGAGGAGAGGGGGGTTGGGTGGATCGTAATCAATTTAAGACGATATCAGTCAGAAGAGGGTTGTTTTTGGTGGGGGGAGGGGTGCGGGTGGGGAGGGTGGGGGGGGGTGGGGGGAGGGTGGGGGGGGGAGGAGAGGGGGGGGGGGAGGAGGGGGGGGGGTGGGGGGGGGGTTGGGTGGATCGTAATCAATTTAAGACGATATCAGTCAGAAGAGGGTTGTTTTTTTGGGGGGGGGGGTGGGGGGAGGAGGTTGGGGGGAAGGTGGGGGGGAGGGTGGGGGGAAGGTGGGGGGAGGGTGGGGGGGGGGGGGAGGGGTGGGGGGGGTTGGGGGGGGGTGGGGGGGGGGGGTGGGGGGGGAGGGGAGGGGAGGGGTTGGGTGGATCATAATCAATTTAAGACGATATCAGTCAGAAGAGGGTTGTTTTGGTGGGGGGGGGGGGGAGGGGGGAGGAGGGTGGGGGGGAAGGTGGGGGGGAGGAGGGTGGGGGGGGAGGGTGGGGGGGGAGGGTGGGGGGGTGAGGAGGGAGGGTGGGGGGGGTTGGGTGGATCGTAATCATTTTAAGACGATATCAATCAGAAGAGGTTTTTTTTGGTGGGGGGGAGGGTGGGGGGGAGGAGGGTGGGGGGGGGGAGGGTGGGGGGGGGGAGGGTGGGGGGGGAGGGTGGGGGGGTTGGGTGGATCACAATCAATTTAAGACGATATCAATCAGAAGAGATTTTTTTTGGGGGGGGGGGGTAGTGGGGGGGGAGGAGGGTGGCGTCTTCTGGTCCAACACCAGTGGAGACTAAAGGGCTCTAAGAAAAGCCGTCTCGGGTGTGGACCAATCAAATTCAAGGACAGTGCCAATAATATTATTTTCAGAGTTGTCTCTTTTTTGTTTGCATTTTGACTTGCTTGTGTTGTGGTTATTGCAAAACACGATGCCCTGAATAAAGGTTTATCAGTTTTTTGTGCCAGTTAAAAAGGTAAAACCTCATTACTATATCTTGTTACTGGCAAAGGAGGTCTCATAATGTAAACGCTCACCCCGAGCCCTCAATAACTCTGATAGTGCGCTGTTTTTGAGCTGTACGCCTTTTGGCGTCTTCTGGTTCAACACCAGTGTGGAGAGACTAAAGGGCTCTAAGAAAAGCTGTCTCGGGTGTGGACCAATCAAATTCAAGGACAGTGCCAATAATATTATTATCAGAGTTGTCTTTTTTTGTGTTTGCATTTTGACTGGCTTGTGTTGTGGTTATTGCAAAACACGATCCCTTGAATAAAGGTTTATCAGTTTTTTGTGCCAGTTAAAAAGGGGTAAAACCTATTCCTATATCTTGTTACTGGCAAAGGAGGTCTCATAATGTAAAGGCTCACCCCGAGCCCTCAATAACTCTGATAGTGCGCTGTTTTTGAGCTGTACGCCTTTTGGCGTCTTCTGGTTCAACACCAGTGTGTGAGACTAAAGGGGCTCTAAGAAAAGCCGTCTCGGGTGTGGACCAATCAAATTCAAGGACAGTGCCAATTATTATTATCAGAGTTGTCTTTTTTTGTGTTTGCATTTTGACTGGCTTGTGTTGTGGTTATTGCAAAACACGATGCCTTGAATAAAGGTTTATCAGTTTTTTGTGCCAGTTAAAAAGGGGTGAAAACCTATTCCTATATATCTTGTTACTGGCAAAGGAGGTCTCATAATGTAAAGGCTCACCCCGAGCCCTCAATAACTCTGACGGTGCGCTGTTTTTGAGCTGTACGCCTTTTGGCGTCTTCTGGTCTAACACCAGTGGAGAGACTAAAGGGGCTCTAAGAAAAGCCGTCTCGGGTGTGGACCAATCAAAATTCAAGGACAGTGCCAATAATATTATTATCAGAGTTGTCTTTTTTTTGTTTGCATTTTGACTTGCTTGTGTTGTGGTTATTGCAAAACACGATGCCTTGAATAAAAGTTTATCAGTTTTTTGTGCCAGTTAAAAAGGTAAAACCTCATTACTATATCTTGTTACTGGCAAAGGAGGTCTCATAATGTAAATGCTCACCCCGAGCCCTCAATAACTCTGATAGTGCGCTGTTTTTGAGCTGTACGCCTTTTGGCGTCTTCTGGTTCAACACCAGTGTGTGAGACTAAAGGGGCTCTAAGAAAAGCCGTCTCGGGTGTGGACCAATCAAATTCAAGGACAGTGCCAATTATTATTATCAGAGTTGTCTTTTTTTGTGTTTGCATTTTGACTTGCTTGCTCTGCGGTTATTGCAAAACACGATGCCTTGAATAAAGGTTTATCAGTTTTTTGTGCCAGTTAAAAAGGGGTGAAAACCTATTACAATAGGATTCATCTTATTTGGGTTTCTTTCCGGTAAAGTCACCACCGCGTAGAATGATAATAAAATATTAAAAAGTAAAATAGGACGATAAAATTTCTCGCGACGTTTCGGCCGCAGCACAAGTGGCCCTCATCAGGTGAAGCAACAATAACTGTCGGGGATGACGGAGCGTTTTTCTGCTCCTTCACCTGAAGAAGGCCGCTTGCGATGCGGCCGAAACGTCGTGAGAATTTTATCAACAACAGCCGCCATTCGCCACTAAGTGAGTGCACCTAGGCCTGTGCCAGGCTAGGTGCACGTTGAGGCTACCACGTGAAGCGTCGAAGGCTCCGCTGATGACCCCCTCCCACCCCACTCACCCCTCACCCCCCACTCACCCCTCACCCCCCACTCACCCCTTACTCACCCCCCCCACTCACCCCTTATTCACCCCCCCACTCACCCCCTACTCACCCCCCACTCACCCCCCACTCACCCCTTACTCACCCATTACTCACCCTCCACTCACACCCCCCACTCACCCCCGCACTCACCCCTCACCCCCCACTCACCCCTCACTCACCCCCCACTCACCCCTCACCCCCCACTCACCCCCTACTCACCCCCCCACTCACCCCCCACTCACCCCTTACTCACCCCTTACTCACCCCCCACTCACCCCTTACTCACCCCCCCACTCACCCCTCTCACCCCCCCACTCACCCCCTACTCACCCCCCCACTCACCCCTCTCACCCCCCCCTCTCACCCCCCTCTCTCACCCCCCACCCCTCTCACCCCCCCCTACACCCCTCACCCCCACCCCCCCCCCCGTCGTGAGAATGTTATCGTCTTATTTTATTATTTCAATAATTTATTATTTTATTATTTTATTATTTTATCATTCTCATCATTCCGCGCGACTTCACCGAAAGAGCCAACGGGGATATTTTTTTTTTTTAACTTTGCCGGTTGCCGTCGAACACCAAAGCAAAAGAGCGGAATGGCTCTGAAGCTCGTGTGGAGCGTCAACGCTGAGATTCACGAGCGGCACGGAGGCGGTGGTGGCAGCGGAGGCGGTGGAGGCGGTGGAGGCGGTGGAGGCGGTGGAGGCGGTGGAGGCGGTGGGGCGGTGTGTGGGGGTGGTGATGGGGGTGGTGAGGGTGGTGGTGAGGGTGGTGGTGGTGGTGAGGGTGGTGGTGGTGGTGGTGGTGTGGGTGGTTGAGGCGGTGGTGGCGGCGGAGGCGGTGGAGGCGGTGGAGGCGGTGGAGGCGGTGGGGGGGTGTGCGGGGGTGTGTGGGGGTGGTGGTGGTGAGGGTGGTGAGGGTGGTGGTGGTGAGGGTGGTGAGGGTGGTGGTGAGGGTGGTGGTGGTGGTGAGGGTGGTGGAGGCGGTGGAGGCGGTGGAGGCGGTGGTGGCGGTGGAGGCGGTGGAGGCGGTGGTGGCGGTGGAGGCGGTGGTGGTGGTGGGGGTGTGTGTGGGTGGTGGTGGTGGGGGGGTGTGTGGGGGTGTGTGTGGGTGGTGGTGGTGGTGGTGGTGGTGAGGGTGGTGAGGGTGGTGGTGAGGGTGGTGGTGAGGGTGGTGGTGGTGAGCGTGGTGGTGGTGGTGAGGGTGGTGGTGGCGGCGGAGGCGGTGGAGGCGGTGGTGGTGGTGTGGGGGTGTGTGGGGGTGGTGGGGGTGGTGAGGGTGGTGGTGGTGAGGGTGGTGGTGGTGGTGAGGGTGGTGGTGGTGGTGAGGGTGGTGGTGGCGGCGGAGGCGGTGGAGGCGGTGGGGGGGGTGTGTGGTGGTGGTGGGGGGGGTGTGTGGTGGTGGTGGGGGTGGTGAGGGTGGTGGTGAGGGTGGTGGTGAGGGTGGTGGTGAGGGTGGTGGTGGCGGTGGTGGTGGCGGTGGTGGAGGTGGAGGCGGTGGAGGCGGTGGTGGTGGTGGTGGGGGTGTGTGTGGGTGGTGGTGGTGGTGGGGGGGTGTGTGTGGGGGTGTGTGGGGGTGTGTGGGGGTGTGACCAGCAATGTCTGAATCGTATCCGACGCCACCCACCCACCCACACCCACCACACCCACCCACCAACCACCAACCACCCACCTCCTTGAGCGTGAGGTTGTAGAAGGTGTCCAGGAAGTCCCATTGGAGGATGTCGCCGTAGATCTCGCTCTCAAAGTCCACCAGCTTCTGCAGGTGGTGGTGCGAGCCATCGTCTGCGGGCACGGGGAGCCCCAGCAGGAACAGGGTCCTCACGCGGAGCGTCCGCGGCTTTGCGGAGGAGGATGAGGATGACGAGGAGGATGACGAGGAGGACGCTGAGAGGTGGTAGTCGGTCTCGCGACCCCAGGTGCGGCGGACGGCGTCACGGCGAGCGTGGTTGGCGCTGGTGCTCTTGATGACGAACAGGAGGTAGGGCCCAATGCCGTCGGCGGAGCCGCGGGAACACCGCCCCGTGGGGTCGTGGAGCAGGGAGAAGAAGCGACAGTGGCGGTAGAGGACGAAGTCTGTTGGTGGGTGGGTGGTGGGTGGGTGGGTGGGGGGGGGTGGGGGGGTGGTGGGGGGGGGGGAGGGGTGGGTGTGGTGGGTGAGGGGGGGTGGTGGGTGGTGATACACTACACTATACACTACTACACTATACACTACTACACTATACACGGCACTATACACTGCACTACACACTACACTATACACTGCACTACACTATACACTATTACACTACACTATACACTACACTACTATACACTACTACACTACACTATACACTACACTTTACACTACTACACTACACTATACACTACTACACTATACACTACTAGACTACACACTACTACACTACACTATACACTACTACACTACATACTGCTACACTATACACTACTACACTACACTATACACTACTACACTACACACTACACTACACTATACACTACTACACTACACTATACACTACTACACTATACACTGCACTATACATGGCACTATACACTACACTATACACTACTACACTATACACTACACTATACACTACACTACACACTACACTATACACTACACTATACACTGCACTATACACTACACTACTATACACTACTACACTACACTATACACTACTACACTACACTATACACTATACACTACACTATACACTACACTACACACTACTACACTATACACTACACTACACTACTACACTACACACTACTACACTATACACGGCACTATACACTACACTACTATACACTACTACACTACACTATACACTACACTTTACACTACTACACTACACTATACACTACACTTTACACTACTACACTACACTTTACACTACACTATACACTACTACACTACACTATACACTACTACACTATACACTACACACTACTACACGGCACTATACACTACACTACTATACACTACTACACTACACTTTACACTACACTATACACTACTACACTACACACTACTACACTACACTATACTACACTACACTATACACTACTACACTATACACGGCACTATACACTACACCACTATACACTACTACACTACACTATACACTACTACACTACACTATACACTACTACACTACTATACACTACTACACTACACTATACACTACTACACTACACACTGCACTATACACTACACTACACACTACACTACACTATACACTACACTATACACGGCACTATACACTACACTACTATACACTACTACACTACACTTTACACTACACTATACACTACTACACTACACTATACACTACTACACTACACTATACACTACTATACTACACTATACACTACACTTTACACTACACTACACACTACTACACTGCACTATACACTACACTATACACTACTACACTATACACTACACTACTACACTACACTATACACTACACTATACACTACACTATATACTACACTATACACTACACTATTATACACTACACTATACACTACACTATACACTACACTATACACGGCACTATACACTACTACACTACTATACACTACACTACTACACTACACACTACTGCACTACACTATACACTACACTTTACACTACACTACTACACTACACACTACTACACTACACTATACACTACACTTTACACTACACTACTACACTACACACTACTACACTACACTATACACTACACTATACACTACACTACTACACCACACTATACACTACACTATACACTACACTATATACTACACTATACACTACACTATACACTACTACACTATACACTACACTACTACACTACACTATACACTACACTACTACACTACACTATACACTACACACTATATACTACACTATACACTACACTATACACTACACTATATACTACACTATACACTACTACACTACACACTATACACTACACACTACACTATATACTACACTATACACTACACTACTACACTACACTATACACTACACACTATACACTACACACTATATACTACACTATACACTACACTACTACACTACACTATATACTACACTATACACTACACTACACACTATACACTACTACACTACACACTATACACTACACTATATACTACACTATACACTACACTATATACTACACTATACACTACACTATACACTACTACACTACACACTATACACTACACTATACACTACACTATACACTACTACACTACACACTATACACTACACTATACACTACACTATACACTACACTATACACTACACACTATACACTACACTATACACTACACTATATACTACACTATACACTACACTATACACTACACACTATACACTACTACACTACACACTACACTATACACTACACTCTATATACTACACTATACACTACACTATACACTACTATGCAAGTGAGTGTCGCCTGACTAACACAACGCTCTCAAGTAACTCTCCCCCCTTCCCCCCCACCGTTCCCCTCTCAACAACAAACAACAACAGCCTGTGCCAGGCTAGGTGCACGTTGAGGCTACCACGTGAAGTGTCGAAGGCTCTGCTGATGACCCCCTCCCACCCCACTCACCCCTCACCCCCCTCCCACTCACCCCTCTCACCCCCCTCTCACCCCCCACTCACCCCCCACTCACCCCCCCCTCACCCCCCACTCACCCCCCCCTCACCCCCCACTCACCCCCTCTCACCCCCCACTCACCCCCCACTCACCCCCTCTCACCCCCCACTCACCCCACTCACCCCTCCACTCACCCCCCACTCACCCCCCCAATCACCCCCCACTCACCCCTCACCCCTCACCCCCCCCACTCACCCCCCACTCACCCCCCACTCACCCCCCCACTCACACCCCCCCACTCACCCCCCCACTCACACCCCCACTCACCCCCCACTCACCCCCCCACTCACCCCCCCACTCACCCCCCCACTACACCCCCCCACTCACCCCCCACTCAACCCCCCACTCACCCCCCACTCACCCCCCCACTCACCCCCCACTCACCCCCCACTCACCCCCCCACATCACCCCCCACTCACCCCCCACTCACCCCCCACTCACCCCCCACTCACCCCCCACATCACCCCCCCACTCACCCCCCCACTCACCCCCCCACTCACCCACCCACTCACCCCCCCACTCACCCCCCCACTCACCCCCCCACTCACCCCCCACTCACCCCCCCACTCACCCCCCACACACCCCCCACTCACCCCCCACTCACCCCCCCACTCACCCCCCCACTCACCCCCCCACTCACCCCCCCCCACTCACCCCCCCACTCACCCCCCCACTCACCCCCCACCCACCCCTCTCACCCCCCCACTCACCCCCCACTCACCCCCCCCACTCACCCCCCACTCACCCCACTCACCCCTCCACTCACCCCCCACTCACCCCTCCACTCACCCCCCACTCACCCCCCCCACTCACCCCCCACTCACCCCCCCACCCCTCTCACCCCCCCACTCACCCCCCACTCACCCCCCCCACTCACCCCCCACTCACCCCCCCACTCACGCCCCCACCCCACTCACCCCCCACTCACCCCCCCCACTCACCCCCCACTCACCCCCCCACTCACCCCCCACTCACCCCCCACTCACCCCTCCACTCACCCCCCACTCACCCCCCACTCACCCCTCCACTCACCCCCCACTCACCACCCCCCACCCTCTCACCCCCCCACTCACCCCCCACTCACCCCCCACTCACCACCCCCACCCCTCTCACCCCCCCACTCACCCCCCACCCACCCCCCACTCACCCCCCCACTCACCCCCCACTCACCCCCCACTCACCCCCCCACTCACCCCCCCACTCACCCCCCACTCACCCCCCCACTCACCCCCCACTCACCCCCCCACTCACCCCCCCACTCACCCCCCCACTCACCCCCCACTCACCCCCCCCACTCACCCCCCCACTCACCCCCCCACTCACCCCCCCACTCACCCCCCCACTCACCCCCCACTCACCCCCCACACACCCCCCCCCTCACCCCCCCACTCACCCCCCCACTCACCCCCCCACTCACCCCCCCACTCACCCCCCCACTCACCCCCCCACTCACCCCCCCACTCACCCCCCCACTCACCCCCCCACTCACCCCCCCACTCACCCCCCACTCACCCCCCCACTCACCCCCCCACTCACCCCCCACTCACCCCCCCCACTCACCCCCCACTCACCCCCCCACTCACCCCCCCACTCACCCCCCCACTCACCCCCCACTCACCCCCCCACTCACCCCCCACTCACCCACCCACTCACCCCCCACTCACCCCCCCACTCACCCCCCACTCACCCCCCCCACTCACCCACCCACTCACCCCCCCACTCACCCCCCACTCACCCCCCACTCACCCCCCCACTCACCCCCCCACTCACCCCCCCACTAACCCCCCCACTCACCCCCCCACTCACCCCCCCACTCACCCCCCCACTCACCCCCCCCACCACCCCCCCACTCACCCCACCCCACTCACCCCCCCACTCACCCCCCACTCACCCCCCACTCACCCCCCCACTCACACCCCCCACTCACCCCCCCACTCACCCCCCCACTCACCCCCCCACTCACCCCCCCACTCACCCCCCCACTCACCCCCCCACTCACCCCCCCACTCACACCCCCACTCACCCCCCCACTCACCCCCCCACTCACCCCCCCACTCACCCCCCCACTCACCCCCCCCACTCACCCCCCACTCACCCCCCCACTCACCCCCCCACTCACCCCCCCACTCACCCCCCCCCCCACTCACCCCCCCCACTCACCCCCCCCACTCACCCCCCACTCACCCCCCCACTCACCCCCCACTCACCCCCCCACTCACCCCCCACCCCACTCACCCCCCACTCACCCCCCACTCACCACCCCCCACCCCTCTCACCCCCCCACTCACCCCCCACTCACCCCCCACTCACCCCCCCCACTCACCCCCCCACTCACCCCCCACTCACCCCCCCACCCCCATCTCACCCCCCCACTCACCCCCCACTCACCCCCCCCACTCACTCCCCACTCACCCCCCCACTCACCCCCCCACTCACCCCCCACTCACCCCTCCCACTCACCCCCCACTCACCCCCCCACTCACCCCCCACTCACCCCCCCACTCACCCCCACTCACCCCCCCACTCACCCCTCCACTCACCCCCCACTCACCCCCCACTCACCCCCCACTCACCCCCCCACTCACCCCTCCACTCACCCCTCCACTCACCCCCCCACTCACCACCCCCCACCCCTCTCACCCCCCCACTCACCCCCCCACTCACCCCCCCACTCACCACCCCCCACCCCTCTCACCCCCCCACTCACCCCCCCACTCACCCCCCACTCACCCCCCCCACTCACCCCCCACTCACCCCCCCACCCCTCTCACCCCCCCACTCACCCCCCACTCACCCCCCCACTCACCCCCCTCTCACCCCCCCACTCACCCCCACCCACCCCACTCACCCCCACCCACCCCTCTCACCCCCACCCCACTCACCCCCCCCACTCACCCCCCCCACTCACCCCCCCCACTCACCCCCCCCACTCACCCCCTCCCCTCACCTTTGAACCTGTCCTCGAGGCCCTCGAACCAATCGGTGCCGAGCAAGGAGCTGTTCGCCGTGCAGTTGGTCACGTGGACGTCCCAGCCCGTGGGGCGCCCCGAGGGGGGCTCGCGCCCGGCCCCCGCCACGCGCCAACGGCGGCGGCGGCGGCGCCCGTCGCGAACCCCCCGGGGCTCCTCCATCCGCGGCCCAACGGGGCCCCGCCCATCGGCGGCGGCTGGGCCCGCCCACTCCGCCTCGGGCTCCTCCTCCTCGTCGTCAAACTCCTCCCACTCCCCCGCCGCCGCCGCCGCCGCCGCAGCGTCTTCGTCGTCGTCGTCGTGATTGGTCGACCACTGGAAGAGGGCGGAGTCGCGAGGCGGCAGGGGTCCCGCCCCCTGCAGTGAGCGGCGGGCGGCGAACAGCTGGGAGCCTTGGTGGGGGGAGAGTGGGGGGGGAGAGTGGGGGGGAGGGAGAGTGGGGGGGGGAGGGTGGGGGGAGGTGGGGGGGAGAGTGGGGGGTGAATAGATAACAGATCTAAAATTAGTTCTTCAAGGTGCTGTTTTTAATCCGTACGAAATGGAGTGAGTGAGTGGGTGAATGAGTGGGTGAATGAATGCTTGAATGCACGCGATAATGATAGGGTGAGTGGGTGCATGAGTGAGTGGGTGAATGAGTGGGTGAGTGAGTGGGTGAATGAGTGAGTGGGTGAATGAGTGAGTGGGTGAATGAGTGAGTGGGTGAGTGAGTAAGTAGGTGAGTGAGTGAGTGCATTAGTGGGTGAGTGGGTGAATGAGTGAGTGGGTGAATGAGTGGGTGAATGAGTGGGGGAGTGAGTGAGTGGGTGAGTAAATGAGTGGGTGAGTGTGTGGGTGAGTGAGTGCATTAGTGGGTGAGTGGGTGAGTGGGTGAATGAGTGAGTGGGTGAATGAGTGGGTGAGTGGGTGAGTGAGTGGGTGAATGAGTGGGGGAGTGGGTGAATAAGTGGATGAGTAAGTGAGTGAATGAATGCTTGAATGCACGCGATAATGATAGGGTGAGTGGGTCCATGAGTGAGTGGGTGAATGAGTGGGTGAGTGAGTGGGTGAATGAGTGAGTGGGTGAGTGAGTGGGTGAGTGAGTGAGTGGGTGAGTGAGTAAGTAGGTGAGTGAGTGCATTAGTGGGTGAGTGGGTGAATGAGTGAGTGGGTGAATGAGTGGGTGAATGAGTGGGGGAGTGAGTGAGTGGGTGAGTAAATGAGTGGGTGAGTGTGTGGGTGAGTGAGTGCATTAGTGGGTGAGTGGGTGAATGAGTGAGTGGGTGAGTGGGTGAATGAGTGAGTGGGTGAATGAGTGGGTGAGTGGGTGAGTGAGTGGGTGAGTGAGTGGGTGAATGAGTGGGGGAGTGGGTGAATAAGTGGATGAGTAAGTGAGTGAATGAATGCTTGAATGCACGCGATAATGATAGGGTGAGTGAGTGAGTGCATTAGTGGGTGAGTGGGTGAATGAGTGAATGAGTGAGTGGGTGAGTGAGTGGGTGAGTGGGTGAATGAGTGAGTGGGTGAGTGGGTGAGTGAGTGAGTGGGTGAGTGAGTGGGTGAGTGAGTGAATGAGTGGGTGAATGAGTGGGTGAGTGAGTGAGTGGGTGAGTGAGTGGGTGAATGAGTGAGGGAGTGAGTGGATGAATGAGTGGGTGAGTGAGTGGGTGAGTGAGTGAGTGGGTAAATGAGTGAGCGGGTGAGTGAGTGGGTGAATGAGTGGGTGAATGAGTGGGTGAGTGAGTGAGTGGGTGAATGAGTGGGTGAATGAGTGGGTGAGTGAGTGGGTGAATGAGTGGGTGCGTGGGTGAATGAGTGGGTGAATGAGTGGGTGAGTGAGTCGGTGAGTGAGTGGGTTCGTGGGTGAATGAGTGGGTGCGTGAGTGGGTGAATGAGTGAGCGAGTGAGTGGGGGAATGAGTGGGTGAATGAGTGGGTGAGTGAGTGAGTGTGTGAATGAGTGGGTGAATGAGTGGGTGAGTGAGTGGGTGAATGAGTAGGTGAATGAGTGGTTGAGTGAGTGGGTGAGTGAGTGGGTTCGTGGGTGAATGGGTGGGTGCGTGAGTGGGTGAATGAGTAGGTGAATGAGTCGGTGAGTCAGTGGGTGAATGAGTGGGTTCGTGGGTGAATGAGTGGGTGGGTGAATGGAAGTGGGTGAATGAGTGAGTGGGTGAGTGAGTGAGTGGGTGAGTGAGTGGGTGAATGAGTGAGTGGGTGAGTGGGTGAGTGAGTGAGTGGGTGAGTGAGTGGGTTCGTGGGTGAATGAGTGGGTGCGTGAGTGGGTGAATGAGTAGGTGAATGAGTGGGTGAGTCAGTGGGTGAATGAGTGGGTTCATGGATGAATGAGTGGGTGGGTGAATGGAAGTGGGTGAATGAGCGGGTGGGTGAATGAGTGAGTGGGTGAATGAGTGGGTGGGTGAATGGAAGTGGGTGAATGGGTGACGTCCTCCAAATGGACACCCCTCACCCCCATTCATAATAAAGAGCCACTCCCTGTTGTTTGGCAGTCTCCTACCCCGTGGCAGGAGCCAGAGCCGGTCCACCGGACCTCCTGAATGCCACAGAGATCCAGGCGGTACCGGTCCAGCTCCCGACGGAGGAGTGGGCAGCCTCTCCTCCGCAGTGAGCGTTCGAACATTCCACGTGGCCACACGAAGTGGCTTTTTGTTGTCTCTGGAGGAGCCCCGACGGTAGAGATTCAGTCTCCCGGCTCCGCCAAATGGGGTTTGTCCAGGAGACGTCATAGACGCCTGTCCCCCCGGGGCCTCCGGCACAAGCTTAATTAAAGTTTTTTGCATGGTAGTTTAGCGGTAGTTAATTGGAGGTGGAGGGGTTACCAGCCCATCGCACCCATCCAGAGCCGCTACCACCACCATCATCACCACCAACACCGCCACCACCATCATCACCACCAACACCGCCACCACCACCACCAACACCGCCACCACCACTGCCACCATCACCAACACCGCCACCACCATCATCACCACCAACACCGCCACCACCACCAACACCGCCACCATCACCAACACCGCCACCACCACTGCCACCATCACCAACACCGCCACCACCACCACCACCGCCACCACCATCACCTCTGCGGGGGATTTGCTGCTCCCTAACCACCACCACCACCACCGCCACCATCAGAGCCAGCAGCGTTGTGGCCAGCGACAGGAACACCGCCGACTTGCAGCGCTTCCACGACATCATCAGCATCATCATCGTCATCAGCGGCGTCTTCTTCTTCCCGCAGTGGGACATCGCCTGCCCGCACAACCACCACCACCAGCATCATCATCATCAGCGGCAGTATCATCATCATCAGCGGCAGTATCATCATCAGCGGCAGTATCATCATCATCAGCGGCAGTATCATCATCAGCGGCAGTATCATCATCATCATCAGCGTCTTCTTCGTCTTCTTCCCGCAGTGGGACATCGCCTGCCCGCACAACCACCACCAACATCATCATCATCAGCAGTGAGTGGGTGGGTGAGTGAGTGAGTGGGTGAGTGAGTGGGTGGGTGAGTGAGTGGGTGGGTGAGTGAGTGGGTGGGTGAGTGGGTGGGTGGGTGAGTGAGTGGGTGGGTGAGTGAGTGAGTGGGTGGGTGAGTGAGTGGGTGGGTGAGTGAGTGGGTGGGTGAGTGAGTGAGTGGGTGGGTGAGTGGGTGGGTGGGTGGGTGAGTGAGTGGGTGGGTGAGTGGGAGGGTGAGTGAGTGGGTGAGTGGGTGGGTAGGTGGGTGAGTGAGTGGGTGGGTGAGTGGGTGGGTGGGTGGGTGAGTGAGTGGGTGGGTGAGTGAGTGAGTGGGTGAGTGAGTGGGAGGGTGAGTGAGTGAGTGGGTGGGTGAGTGGGAGGGTGGGTGGGTGGGTGAGTGGGAGGGTGGGTGGGTGAGTGGGAGGGTAGGTGGGTGGGTGAGTGAGTGGGTGGGTGAGTGAGTGGGTGGGTGAGTGAGTGAGTGGGTGGGTGAGTGGGAGGGTGGGTGGGTGGGTGAGTGAGTGGGTGGGTGGGTGGGTGAGTGGGTGGGTGAGTGAGTGAGTGGGTGGGTGAGTGAGTGGGTGGGTGGGTGAGTGAGTGGGTGGGTGGGTGAGTGGGAGGGTGGGTGGGTGGGTGAGTGAGTGGGTGGGTGAGTGGGTGGGTGAGTGAGTGGGTGGGTGGGTGAGTGGGAGGGTGAGTGAGTGAGTGGGTGGGTGAGTGAGTGAGTGGGTGGGTGGGTGAGTGAGTGAGTGGGTGGGTGAGTGGGTGGGTGGGTGAGTGGGAGGGTGGGTGGGTGGGTGGGTGAGTGGGAGGGTGAGTGAGTGGGTGGGTGAGTGAGTGGGTGGGTGAGTGAGTGAGTGGGTGGGTGAGTGAGTGAGTGGGTGGGTGAGTGAGTGAATGAGTGGGTGGGTGAGTGGGTGGGTGGGTGGGTGAGTGAGTGGGTGGGTGAGTGAGTGGGTGGGTGAGTGAGTGAGTGGGTGGGTGAGTGGGTGGGTGGGTGAGTGAGTGGGTGGGTGAGTGGGAGGGTGAGTGAGTGAGTGGGTGGGTGAGTGGGAGGGTGGGTGGGTGGGTGAGTGGGTGGGTGGGTGAGTGAGTGGGTGATTGAGTGAGTGGGAGGGTGGGTGGGTGAGTGAGTGGGTGAGTGAGTGAGTGGGTGGGTGAGTGAGTGGGTGGGTGGGTGAGTGAGTGGGTGGGTGGGTGAGTGGGAGGGTGGGTGGGTGGGTGAGTGAGTGAGTGAGTGGGTGGGTGAGTGGGTGGGTGTGTGAGTGGGTGGGTGAGTGGGAGGGTGAGTGAGTGAGTGGGTGGGTGAGTGAGTGAGTGAGTGGGTGAGTGGGTGGGTGAGTGAGTGAGTGAGTGGGTGGGTGAGTGGGTGGGTGGGTGAGTGGGAGGGTGGGTGGGTGGGTGAGTGGGAGGGTAAGTGAGTGGGTGGGTGAGTGAGTGAGTGGGTGAGTGAGTGAGTGGGTGGGTGAGTGAGTGGGTGGGTGAGTGAGTTAGTGGGGGGTTGGGTTGGTAGGTGTGTGATTGGGTGGGTAGGTATGTGATTGGGTGGGTGGGTGAGTGAGTGAGTGGGTGGGTGGATAGGTGAGTGGGTGGCTGAATGGGTGGATGAGTGGGTGAGTGAGTGGGTGGGTAAGTTGGTGAGTGGGTGGGTGAGTGGGTGAGTGGGTGAGTGTGTGGATGGGTGGGTGAGTGGTTGGGTGGGTGAGTGGGTGAGTGGTGGGATGGGTGAGTGGGTGACATGGGTGGGTGGGTGGTTGGATGGGTGGGTGAGTGGTTGGGTGAGTGGGTTGCTGAGTGGTTGGGTGGGTGAGTGAGTGGGTGGGTGAGTGGATGGGTGGGTGAGTAGTTGGGTGGGTGCGTGAGTGGGTGGGTGGTTGAGTGATTGGGTGGGTGAGTGGGTGAGTGGTTGGGTGGGTGGGTGAGTGGTTGGGTGGGTGGGTGGGTGAGTGTGTGAGTGGATGGGTGAGTGGGTGGGTGGGTGAGTGGGTGGGTGGGTGGATGGGTGAGTGGGTGAGTGGGTGAGTGGATGGGTGAGTGGGTGAGTGAGTGGGTGGGTGAGTGGATGGGTGAGTGGGTGGGTGAGTGAGTCGGTGAGTGGGTGGGTCAGTGGTTAGTGGGTGAGTGGATGGGTGAGTGGGTGAGTGGGTGGGTGACTGGGTGGGTGAGTGGGTGACTGGGTGGGTGAGTGGGTGACTGGGTGGGTGAGTGGGTGAGGTTGTGGATGGGTGAGTGGTTGGGTGGGTGGGTGAGTGGGTGAGTGGATGGGTGGGTGAGTGGGTGGGTGGATGGGTGAGTGGATAGGTGGGTGGATGAGTGAGTGGGTGGGTGAGTGGGTGAGTGGATGGGTGAGTGGGTGAGTGGGTGAGTGGGTGACTGGGTGGTAGATTGAGTGACTGGGTGGGTGAGTGGGTGAGGGGGTGAGTGGGTGAGTGTGTGGATGGGTGAGTGGTTGGGTGGGTGGGCGAGTGGGTGGGTGGTTGGGTGAGTTGGTGGCTAAGTGGGTGAGTGGGTGGGTGGGTGAGTGGTTGGGTGAGTGGGTGGGTGAGTGGGTGGGTGGGTGAGTGGGTGGGTGGGTGAGTGAGTGAGTGGGTGAGTGGGTGGGCGAGTGAGTGGGTGGGTGAGTGGGTGGGTGAGTGGGGGGTGGGTGAATGGTTGGATGTGTGAGTGGGTAAGTGAGTGGGTGAGTGGGTGGTGAATAAATGGGTGGGTGAGTGGTTAGGTGGGTGAGTGGGTGAGTGAGTGGTTGGGTGGGTGGGTGGGTGAATGGGTGGGTGGGTGAGTGAGTAAGTGGATTGGTGAGTGGTTGGGTGAGTGGGTGAGTGAGTGAGTGGGTCGGTGAGTAGTTGGGTGAGTCGTTGGGTGGGTGGGTGAGTGGTTGGGTGGGTGAGCGCGTGGGTGGGTGAGCAGGTGGGTGGGTGGGCGGGTGAGTGGTTGGGTGGGTGGGCGACTGGGTGGGTGGTTGGGTGAGTGGGTGGGTGAGTGGGTGGGTGAGTGGGTGGTCGAGTGGGTGAGTGAGCGAGTGGTTGGGTGAGTGGGTGGACGAGTGAGTGGGTGGGTGAGTGGGTGGGTGAGTGGGGGGTTGGTAAATGGTTAGGTGGGTGAGTGGGTAAGTGAGTGGGTGAGTGGGTGGGTGAATGGATGGGTGGGTGAGTGGTTAGGTGGGTGAGTGGGTGAGTGAGTGGTTGGGTGAGTGGGGGGGGGTGTGGGTGAGTGGTTGGGTTGGTGAGTTGGTGAATGAGTGGGTGAGTGGGTAGGTGAGTGGATGGGTGGGTGAGTGGGTGGTTGAGTGGTTGGGTGGGTGAGTGAGTGGGCGGGTGGATGAGTGGGAGGGTGGGTGGGTGATTGTGTGGATGGGTGGGTGAGTGGTTGGGTGAGTGGGTGAGTGGTTGGGTGAGTGGGTGAGTGAGTGGGTGAGTGAGTGGATGGGTCGGTGAATAGTTGGCTAAGTGGGTGGGTGGGTGGATAAGTAGTTTTATGCGGATGAGTGAGTGAGTGGGTCTTTGAGTGGGAGGGTGGGTGGGTGAGTGTGTGGATGGGTGGGTGAGTGGTTGGTTGGGTGGGTGAGTGGGTGAATGAATGAGTCGGTGGGTCGGTGAGTAGTTGGCTGAGTGGGTGGGTGGGTGAGTGAATGAGTGAGTGGGTGCATGTGTGTGTGGGTGAGTAGTGAGTGGTTGGGTGGGTGGGTAAGTGAGTGGGTAGGTGAGTGAGTGGGTGGGTGCGTGAGTGAGTGGTTGAGTGGGTGGGTGGGTGAGTGTGTGGGTGATTAAGTGGGTGGGTGGGTGAGTGAGTGGGTGGGTGTGTGATTGAGTGATATAGGGTGTGGGTGGGTGAGTGTGTGTGTGATTGAGTGGGTGGGTGGGTGAGTGAGTGCGTGAGTAGGTGAGTAGGTGGGTGAGTGGGTGAGTGAGTGGTGAGTGGGTGGGTGAGTTGGTGGGTGAGTGAGTGAGTGAGTGGGTGAGTGTGTGGGTGAGTGTGTGGGTGAGTGAGTGGGTGGGTGTGTGGGTGAGTGAGTGTGTGGGTGAGTGAGTGGGTGGGTGTGTGGGTGAGTGCGTGAGTGGGTGTTTTTTCCCCAATGCACGTGCTCAACCTGACCGCAGGCTTGAATATCCCACTGTTATTCAGAAAGACAATTCCCAGCGTGACGGCGACTCTCAACACAAAGACCAAGACGATCCACACCCCGATAGCCACAACCGGCTCTAAGGACAAATGAAAAAAGAGACAAAGACAAAGATCCCCCGTGTAGCCTTAACGGACTGCAGGGGCAAGTGCTGTTAGCGAGCATCACCCTGTGAAGGCTACCGGCACTGTGGCACACACAGAGGGGGTGGGTGGCCAGCACCACGCCCGGCCGCCTTTGTCTCCCCCAGTGCTAGCGATGTTTACTACACCACCACCGCTATTCCAGGTACTCATTTGAGGCTGAGTCGACCTAGGAGAGGCCTTGGACCGGTTCAGATAATCGTCACCGGTGTTGGCCGTGAGCGGGAATCACACAGACTCGCACACAGATAGATTCACACACACACACGGACTCACACACAGGCTCACACACTCACACACAGACACACACACAACAACAACATCAACAACCGCCATTCGCCACTAAGTGGCGGTGACGTCACCACGACGCTTGTGCCAGGCTATGTGCACCCTGAGGCCACGTGAAGTGTCGAACGCCCGCTGGCAGGAGGTCACGGGGCAGACCCAGGTGCCACGGGTCGACTGACTGAGATGACTGGCTGATGCACCACCTGTGCCCCCTACTGTGCCAATTTGCTGTGCTTTAGCCACCCGGCGCTCCGCTCGTTGTTGTGAGCGTCGCTCCTCCGCCCTCCGTTGTTGTTGGAGGGCGACTGCCTCCAACTGCCCAGTAGCAGCGTCCTTCACGAGCCTCCTCCACAGAGGCCGATCTTGACACCGCTGGTACCAGTCATCGGCAAGTCCACTCAGCTCCACGTCCTCCTGTACCACATCACTCCATCTCTTCTCTAGCCCGTGCCGCGCCTGTTTAGCCCCCTCGATCCGGCCGAACAAAAGCTGTTTTGGCATGCGGTGGCTGGGCATGCGGGCTACATGACCCAGCCATCGCAGCCTTGCCCGCCGGAGGAGCTCACCGATGGGACCTTGCCCAGATCTTTCAAGGATTTGTGAGCTCCTCACACAATCCAGTCTGGCTAAACCCAGGATGAATCGTAGGCAGGCCAGCCTAAATGTTTCTAACCGGCGAAGATGTTCCATTAGGGGGGTCCACGTTTCGCAAGCGTAGAGAAGGGATGGAATGACCGTGGCCGAGAAGACCTGAAGCTTAGTGCGGAGCGACAGACCAGGTAGCTTCCACACAGCGTTACGCAACCGATGAAAATATATTGCCGCTCGACTGATTCGGAGTGAGACCTCTGCTGTTAAACTGGAGCCAGTCATAAGCACACTGCCCAGGTTTGGGAAACTCTCCACTCTCTCCACAACTGCCCCATCACCGATTGGGAGTTGTGGGGGTGGAGTGTCCGATGGTACAAAATACCCAGGCAGGTGCTTAGTTTTGGTGGGGCTGATGGTAAGGCCCCACCTCTTAGTGGCACGCTCCAGTCTCAGCAGCAGCGTCTCCAACTCCTCCTCTGAATGAGCAGCTATTACCAAATCATCAGCATACATAACCTGGTTGAGCAATAGGGAGCCATCCCTTGACCGCACCCGGGCATCGATCAGCCTCCCATTATATCTGTACCATATGGAGATTCCCCCGGTACAGCTATTGAAGGCTTCACGAACTACGTGGTCAAAATAGATGTTAAATAATGTGGGAGCCAGAGGACATCCCTGTCGCACCGCAAGGTGTACAGGGAATGGCTCTGACTCCGGCCACGTAGTTTTACCCGGGCCCGCTCACCATCATGAAGGTCCTTAATGATCGTGAGCAGAGGGTCAGGTACTCCAAAAGCACGAAGAACAACCCAGAGCCCAGGCCTACTGATGGTATCATAGGCCTTGACCAGGTCAATAAAGCAGAGATGTAGGTCTTGTTGGAATTCCCTACACCTCTGCTGTAGCAGACGGACAGAAAATATGGCATCTGTGCAGGACCGCCCTTTCCTGAAACCGCATTGGGGCTCCGCAAGCCTCTCCTCAGCGTGCCTGGCAAGGCGATGCTGAATAATCCTTGCCAGGACCTTTCCCGGCACACTGAGGAGTGAGATGCCCCTGTAGTTGTTAAAGTCTGTGCGGTCCCCCTTCTTAAAAAGGGGGACCACCAGGGCATCCTTCCAATCCTGCGGAACCCATCCAGTGGTCCAGACTGTTGTTATGATGTCATATAGGGCAGTCTGTGCACAAACGCCACCCTCCCTCAGCATTTCTCTTGGGAGATCATCTCTGCCCGCTGTCTTTCCTGGTCTCAGACTCCGGATCGCCTTCAGTACTTCCTCAACAGATGGCACCTCAGCCAGCCACTCACAATATTTGAGGCACCGCAGCCTCAGCAGGGTCATCCTCACTTTGAGACACGATATTTTCCTGGCTGAGGGATTTCCCCCCCCCCCCCAGGACCTCACAAATGCTCAGCAAATCTGCAAACCTGTTCCTGGGGGTCGGAGATTGGATCACCGTTTTTTCCCCTAATGATGGTAATAGGTGTGGCGCTGCAGGTTACTTTTTTGATGGAGTTAAATAGAGATTTGTGATCACGGGCCACTGAGGCAGAAGACACACACTCACACACAGACACACAGACACAGACACACAGACACACAGACACAGACACACAGACACACACACAGACACACACACTTACACACAGACACACACTCACACACAGACACACACACTCAGACACAGACACATACAGGCTCACACAGGCTCACACAGGCTCACACACGCTCACACTCACTCACACACAGACACACACACAGACAAACACAGGCTCACACACACAGACACACACAGATTCAGACAGACACACACAGACTCACACAGACACACACAGACTCAGACAGACACACACAGACTCACACAGACACACACACAGGCTCACATAGACTCACACAGACTCACACACACACAGACAGACACACTCACACACAGACACACACACAGACACACACGCACATGCTCACACATATTCACAGACAGACACACACAGACTCAGACAGACTCACACAGACTCACACAGACACTCACAGACACACACAGACTCACACACAGGCTCACAGACAGACACACACAGGCTCACACACAGACACACAGACTCACACAGACACTCACAGACACACACAGGCTCACACACAGACTCACACAGGCTCACACACAGACTCACACACAGGCTCACAGACAGACACACACAGGCTCACACACAGACTCACACAGACTCAGACACAGACACACACAGACACACACAGGCTCACACACAGACTCACACACAGACTCACACACAGGCTCACAGACAGACACACACACAGACACACACAGACTCACACAGACACACACAGGCACACACAGACACACACAGGCACACACAGACTCACACACAGACTCGCTCAAACACAGACACACACAGGCTCACACAGACACACACAGGCTTACACAGACACACACAGGCTTACAGACTCACACACACAAACAAAAGACAAAGATCCCCCGTATAGCCTTAACAGACTGTAGGGGCAAGTGCTGTTAGCGACCACCTATGAAGGCCGGAACGGTACAAGAGGGGGTGGGTGGCCAGCACCACGCCCGACCGCCTTTGTCTCCCCAGTGGCGATGTTTACACACCGCACGAGGTACTCATTTGACGCTGAGTCGACCTAGGGGAGGCCCGAGACCGGTTCAGGTAATTGTCACTGGTGTTGGCCGTGAGCAGGAATCGAACCCGGGTCGCCAGGTTCATAGCACAGCGCGCTAACCGCTACACTACCGCTCCCCACTACACACACAGACACACACACAGACACACACACAGACACAAACACACAGACACACTCACAGACACACACACTTACACACAGACACACACACACAGACACACACAGGCTCACAAACAGACTCACACACAAACACACACACAGACACACACACAGACACACACACAGACACACACACAGACACACACTCACAGACACACACACTTACACACAGACACACACACAGAGACTCAGACACACACACACAGACACACACACACACAGACACACACAGACTCACACATAGACTCACACAGACTCACACACAGACTCACACAGACACAGACACACACTCACACACAGACACACACAGACTCACACAGACACAGACTCACACACAGACTCACACAGACACACACACAAAGACGCACTCATAGACTCACACAGACACACACACAGACTCACACACAGACTCACACAGACACACACACAGAGACTCAGACACACACACACAGACACACACACACAGAGACTCACACAGACACACACAGAGACTCAGACACACACATACACAGACTCACACAGACTCACACAGACACACACACAGACACACACACAGACTCCCACAGACACACACACAGACACACACTCACACACAGACACACACAGACTCACACAGACACAGACACACACACAGACTCACACAGACACACACAGACTCACTCATAGACTCACACAGACACACACACAGACTCACTCATAGACTCACACAGACACACACACAGACTCACACACAGACTCACACACACACACAGAGACTCAGACACACACACACAGACACACACACAGACACACACACACACAGACTCACACAGACACACACACAGACACACACACACAGACACACACACACACAGACTCACACAGACACACACAGAGACTCAGACACACACACACAGACTCACACACACACACAGACTCACACACACTCACACAGACACACACACACAGACACACACACAGACTCCCACCCCCCCAGGTGACATTGGGTGATTAAACATTCCGCTGTCCCTAGGAATGTTCTCAGGGCTGTCAGGCCGGTCGCTGTGCTGGAAACCGGCTTGACCGGGTGTCGGATTTACTGCTCACGCGTAGACAGTCACAGTAGAGAGTCAGGCTGTAGTAGAGACTCAGGGTGTAGTAGAGACTCAGGGTGTAGTAGAGACTCGGGGTGTAGTAGAGACTCAGGGTGCAGTAGAGACTCAGGGTGTAGTAGAGAGTCAGGCTGTAGTAGAGACTCAGGG